AGGCTGCCTATCCGCTGCAGGCACCTGCGTCACCAGGCCTGGGCCACACTGGGCCCTTTCCTCCAGGTGCATGCAGGTGGCTCCCATGAGGTGGCGAGAATTCCTGAGAGAAAGACAGACAGACAGAGACAGAGAGCAGGAGAGCAAGACAGCAAGAGAGAAGCTAGACTTTCTGCGCACTGCTAGGCCAGGCTGTTTGGGAAACTAACAACGAAACAAAAGAAAACACCACAACATAAAGGAAAGCAAGACCAGGAACACTGGAAAGCTGACTCCTGCGGCGCACAAACCAGTCCTGTCCCTTGAGCCCCCTTCACACTTAGGAAAGGCCTGTGGCTCTGGATGGCCACTGGCAGGGGGGCTACACTGCCTGCGCCCTAGGAGGGCCAGGGCCTCCGTCTCCTGGGGTGCACTAACCTCAGCGCATCCCCGTGACTGCAATGGCAGTGGGGAGCCCGCAGCCACATGGTCCTCAAGGGGGAGAAGTACGCCTGGTTCGCTCTTAGCCACAGCGGTCCTGGGGACCACTATGGCCCCATGGGCACTGAGATGGGCGAGCGGGGTGCGGTGACTGCAGCAAGGAACAGCCCTGCCCGCTCTGGTCACTGCAGGGGTGCCGGGCAGGCCCTGAAACGAGGTTCCGTGCCCACACCAGGCACCTGTGTCCTTCTCGTCCCACAGTTGCTGACACCCCCAAGCACCCTAACTTCTTTAGCCAAGCACGAGGTCAAGGACAGCAGGCAGCCACCTGTCTTCAGGCAAACATGCTTGCGAGCCTGCCTCTTGTGGGAGCCCGTCTGCAGGCCTGCAGACCGGGAAGTCAGTCACACTGTCCCTAGGCATTTCTTCCCTGACAGGTGACCGCTTCCTCTTCTAACCAGGCCCCCCTTGTCTGTCCCTTGAGCAACACACTCGCCTCTGCTCACACAGGGACGTGAGAGGCCGGGGCACTCACAGACTGAACGAAAGGCTGGTGGCAAGCCGGACATGCTGAGGGGAGTCACACTGGGAAATTCTGAGCAAAACTCCCTCGGCCAGGGGCTGGGGATTTAGCTCAGTGGCATAAGCGCCTGCCAGGCAAGTAGGCAGCCGTGAGTTCCATCCCTGGTACCGATTTAAAGAAAAAACAAAAACAAACAAAAAAAAAAAAAACAAAAAACCTCCCTCAGCCACAGAGGAGAGACTTCCAGCTGCAAACTGTGGGCTCCCCGAGAAAGACCTCAGGTCCCCCTGTAGGGACACCTTTGCGAGCCTGCTATGCCTGAACCTCAGACCTGTTACCTGGACACTCTTGTGTCCTGCCCCTTTCTGGGTCCCTGACACCAGTGTGGACTTTCCCTGGCACAAGTTGCACATCTTACACCAACGGTGCAAAACTAGATGCCCTTTGGGTCATTTATTAGTAACAAAACTTTCTCCACAACAACTGCGTTAAGTTAGAGACCTGGAAAGCTTCCTCTCAGCGGGCAAGAGATGGCCAGAGAGGCTCAGGGCAGGATTGCTTCCTGAGGGATTCCCAGTCTGAATTCCTGCAGCGGAGTGTCTCAGGCTGGACCCTCAGGTACAGAGCAGCCAGTTCACTTCCTAAGGGCTACAAAGGTCTTCCCAAACCCTGGGGGGAAGGTGCTCAGGCCTGGAAGAGCAACTTCCTGGGCTCTGAGCCACTCTGCTCCCTGGATAGAGCACTTTAGCAGGAAGTTGTTTCAGGCCAGAATGAACATCCTCCAACTCAGGGCCCCTGGCTCCTCACGCTTAGCTGGGGGTGGGGTGGGGAGCTCATCATGGCTGGTAAGATGACAATGCCTCTTTTCTGCTGCTGCCTGGTGAGAAGCCAGAAAGTCCTCAGGCTCAAAACTATTAATATAAACCCAATATAAACCTGGAGTGATCATACAACCAGCTGCTGGAGAATCAGAAGCAATAGTCTCCCGCCCTTCTAGAAATGGACCCTTATTTTTCAGCAAAGCCCCCGGCCTGCTGCATTCTGAGTCTGTGTGGCTCCCCTTCCTGGCGATCACTCCCCAAGGGGACAGCCTCACTTCCTAGACATGCTTTAGGGGCCATGCAGAAAACCACCCTGGTGGACAGCGAGGCCTCCTCATGAAGCCCACCCAGGAGCGCAGAAATGACCCTAGCCGCTGCAAGTGAGGTGGCTGAGGCAAGGCTGACCACTGCTGGGAGGGCCCCATGGTGCCCAGCAAGCCAGGGCTCCAGCACCAGGGCTCCGAAGCACAGCCAGCCAGCCAGGCAGGGTGACCTCTGAGTCCCCACCAGCAAGGCCCAGAGAGCATCACTTCACCACCTCGGGATGCCCTGCCCCACCCCGCCCAGCAGCCAGCTGCCCCACACAGCTGTTTCTCAGGAAGGCCTGGGCTGTTTTCTGAAGCAGAGAGAGAACCAGGACAAGGCAGTATAACTACGGCCAACACACATTTCTTTTAGAGCACAGCAACAAGGCCACTGAAGAGGTCTGTCCAGGTGTTTCCCTGATTTCTAACCTAACCTCCACTGCATTCAGAACACATTTGGGAAATATTAAAATCACACAGCTGCGGCAAAACTCCCAATGTGGTTAATAAATGCTTTATGACAGTTAAGAGTGATGTGGCTCAGGGAAGGTCTTTTAATAAGAAGGTCTGGTGGGGATTCGGCAGAGGGGGAGGTGGGACAGCGTGGGGTGCAGCAGGGCTGCAGTGGGGTGGGGCATGGGAGAGACTGGGGAAGAGGGGCAATGACTCTGCAACCCACTTTTCCTTTTAAAAAACCCACCAAGGGTGGCCTTGCTCTTTTAGGTAGCTCTAAGGGACATCACAGGGGTTCTCTTTAACATCAAAATGAAATGTTTCTGTGCTGTGAAGGAAGCTGTCCATGCAGCCACATGTTCACAAAACAGCTGCCAACCTTCGGTGAGGCCTGGGTTCAAGGGCTTCACAGGCGGGGGGGGGGGGGCGCCAGAAGTCCTGCAGTACCACCATCCAGGGACCTCTAAGCAAGGAAACCTCTACCCTTTGACCCTGCCACATGGCTCAGCAGTGAGCCCACCCCTGCATGTCAGCCGGGGCTGGACACTTGCAGAAAGGACAAGGCCAAGTCTCAAGCTGTTCTGGCCTAACGGCAACCACAGACATTGACTAGGAATCCCCCTCGTCCTGCCTCTGTCTGCCCCCCCCCCCATCTCTGTCTCACACACATAGTTAGGTTGTGGTCCAAATAGATCACATGACTTCAATGACATTTCCCCAGTGGCTGTAATTCATGAACCAGAAAAGAGAGAAAACAGGAAAACCCCTGCTATCATCCCCTGTGCCCAGTCAAGAGACTCAGTAATGCAGAACCCAGGCTGGGCAGGCTGGGATCAGGAGCCGGTGTCAGGTAACTGTTCTTCACTGGGGGAGTTTCTAACACTTCTGGCTTTCTTGGAGAGATAGAGGGTATTGTAACTGTGGGCCCAACCAATGTGTCACAAAAGGACTCCAACCAGACCCGTAAGAACGGCTGCGGCACTGGCGGTGGCAGAGAAGTCAAACCCGGGCTGCTCACTAGCCTCGGAGGGCACCGCGGGGCACTGGCTGACAAAGGGTTCTTGTGCGGGCTGGGCAGAGGGCGCCCGCTCCCGGCCCCCCACCACACAGCTCCGTGCAGCTGCCCCCGCCACCCAGAGAGCCCCACAGTCCCAAGTGGACCCCAGGGCAGGGTACTGTCACATGCCCCGCAGAACACCCTCAGGCCGGGGACGCCCGTGAGTACCACTGGCAAAGCAGAGCCTCTTCACTACTGGACTCCAGGGGTAGTCAAGCCACATCATGAAGCAGAATTATTTGCAAGCTGCATGTTTAGGATTTTATGTAGAGATTAAATTATTTTTATTTTATTTCCCCTTTATTTGGCAGAACTTTAAATGTAGCCCAAGGCAGTGCGCTTGCTGTAAGCAGGACCTACAGACAGCGAGCCGCTCCCTGGGAACCGTGGGCATTGCTTCTGGTCCAGGCCTAAGGTGGGACAGAGAATGCAAACTGAGAGCACAGAGTGACACTCAGAGCTGCCCTACTGCTGCAGACCCTGAAACTCAACACTAAACGACATGGGCCAGCAGAGGCGTCCCTCTGGGGGAGGGAAAAGCAAAAGCTCTGTAAAGCTGTAGTATTTACCAGAATCTTTAAGAAAGTGTGCTGCGACTGCCACTTCACATCCTGGCTGTGTCTGACAGGGGAGATGTCACTAACAGGACAGCGACAACCTCCGCTCTGAGCCAGGATCGGTTGGCTCAGTCTCTCCACCCTGCTCCCCCAGCTCTGCCCCTCCCCGACCAAGCCCTCCCGCTTCCCAACAGACAACACATGGACACCTGCACCCCCGTGACAGCTGTGTCAAAGCCAACAGGACCTCAGCAGGCCACGCCGCGTGGCTTGGCGCCCACGACTGCGCGACTTCCCCAGCACTGCTAGGCCTGCACCTTCGCAGACCGAGGGACAGCAGCACCCAGGCTGCGCTCCAGCGCTGCAATGCTGCGAGGGCAGACGTCACCGCCTGTCCCGGCTCCTGGGGCTGTGCAGGATAGCGGGCAGGTCTGGGTGAGGGTGACATCTGGTTCGGCACGGCGTGAGAGGCACAGGAGATGAGGTGGGGTGGAAGATTCCGAAGCAGCAGGTGGAAACCGCGCCGTGCGCTTTCGAGGACGTGATCCCGAGGCTCTAGTGCAAACCCCACAGCACACGCAGGGCAGGACTCAGCTTCCACCACTGTTTCACTGGGTCTGGGCTGAGGCTGCTGCTCCTGGCTTGGTATAAAGAAAACAGGTTCCTCCTGCTTCACGTCTGCCATGGAACGGAAACACGGCTTCTGAAAAAGGCCGTGGGTCCAGGGAGCAATCTGAAGGTCACCCTAGAACCACAGCCCACACTACGGACCAGCCTAACTATAGCGTCAAAAGCAAAAAAAGAGAGTTCTGAGGGTCTCCATGCTAGAAACACCCTCGAATAAAAAACAAAAACAAAAACCCCTGAAGTGTTAAACACCGAGAGTCTCCCAAGTCATTTATTTACATATTATATGTGTGGTATATAATGTGCAGATAAATGTACCCCGCTGAACGGCACAGCATAGCACAGACCCTCAAAAAGCTTCATCTCACACTGGTATCTTTTAATAAAAAAAAAGTTGCTTAAAAATCAAAGAAAATGTCTGGCCAGGGCCGGATGAGACAAACAGGGAGGCTTGAGAACTGGGGGAAAGATGTCTGCCTCTCTTCAGGGGGTGCAGTGTGAAAAGGGGGACAGATCATGCACAAAAGTACTTACAGACTACACGCCCAGCCCCCACCCCTCCAGGGAAAGAAGAAAAAGCCCATCTCGAACACCGAACACCGCGGGAGGCTGGCCGCCCGCTGTCGCTGCCGCTGCCCAAGGAGGAGGAGTAAGAGGCGGAGAGGAGGAGGGGGAGGAGGAGGACTAGGAGGAGGGGGCGCAGCGGCAGGAGGCTGCGGGAGGAGAGCCGGCAGGGCCGCACTGCAGTCCAGGGCCCAGCACCGGGCTCGCGGGCCTCTTCAGTCATCTGATGCCCGACATGGAGCTCTGAGCAGCCACCGAGTACGTGGTGGCCACGACCGGGGTGCCGTTGTTGGCGGAGTAGCCTTGCCTCAACGTTTCAAAGTACGACGCCTGCACGGGTTTGTGATACTGCAGCACTTTTATGGCCTCTTCTATTTTAAACCACTCCCTTTTCCTTCCTGTGAGGGCAGAGAAAAGACAGTAGTACACGTGGAAGCAGTGAGCTCCGAGTCTGGAGAAAAAGCCCATGAAAACATGAAATCAATGTTTCTCAGTACTGTTTTTTTGTTTCTTGAGATAGGGTGTCACCAGACGGTGCAGGTTGGCCTCAGACTCACAGTGACTCTCCTGCCTCAGCCTCCCGAATGCTGGGGTTACAGGCGTGCGCCACTGCGCCCAGCACACCAGCACACTTTACGTGCTCCAAAACGACACTCAGATGCCTGAGGAGGACACAGGTGAGGCCTGGGACCTGAGACGATGCTGGCTGTGTGCACCCTGCACACCTGGGCCTCGGAGGGGCCAGCAGCAGGTCACCTGCCACGAAACTGAACATGAGAAGCGGCACCCAGAGCACCAGGATGGCTGGGCTGGAACCAGCTGGTACCTAAAGCTTTTACAGGAGTCACAGACCTACTTCACAGAAAATACCAAACGGTTATCACAGACCACCATTAACTCTTCAGGTTCCATTTTTTCATATTAATGCTTTAAAATCCTCTATTACTTTTCTTTTATGAAAGTAACAAAAAAGCCAGTCAGGCACAGAAATTTGTACATGTAATCCTAGCACTAAGGGAGGCTGAGGTAAGAGGATTCCTAGTTCAAGTTGTGCCAGGCTAATTTAGTAAGACCTTGTCTGAAAAAATAAAAAGGTGAGGGGCTGAGGATTTAGCTCAGCAGCATAAGGGTCTGCCTGGCAAGCACAAGGTCTTGAGTTCCATCCCCAATACCAAAAAAAAAAAAAAAAAAAAAAAAAGTCTAAGATATAGCTCAGTGGTAAAGCTTCTACCCTGGATTCCATCCTCAGTACTGATTAAAAAAAAAAGTTAGATAAGATACCAATGATTAAACTAGGATTTGTTGTAAAGGGTAATAATACCAGCACTCTAGGAGGCTGAGGCAGGAGGATTTCCAAATTCAAGCCTGACCTGGGCTACTTAGTGAGACCTTGTTCCTAAAGGGGGAAAAAAGAGGTGTATGTGTACCTCAGTGTGAAGACCCTGGGTTCAATCCCCACATATCACAAAATAAATAAAATAAAAATCACTGCTTAAAATTGGAGTAACATAGGGGGCAGAGGCCAAGGCTAGAGGGTCACTGAGTTTGAGGAAACTGCGTGCAGGGACAGCCTGAACTACACTGCAAGACCCTGCCTCAAAAAGGGGGGGGGGCTTATTAAAAGTTTTTGGGTTATTAAAAGAGAAAAGGAGGGGCTGAGAGTACAGCTCAGTGGCACAAGCGCTGGTCTGGCAAGCATGAGGTCGTGAATTCGATTCCCGGTACCACAATAAACACATAAATCAATGGATGGAAAACAACAGAGCGGGGGTTTAGCACAGTGTAAGGCACTTGTGTAAGTGGCCCCGCGGTCAGCCCCCAGCATGAGGGGTGTGGGAGCTGCAGAAACAGGAAAGTATAAGCACCATCCTTTTTTTTTTTTTTTTTTTTTTTTTTGGTACCAGGGATTGAACTCATGAACCTCAAACCGCCTGCCAGGCAGGCACTTATGCCACTGAGCTAAATTCCCAGCTCCTTTTTTTGTTTCTTGAGACAAGGTCTCACCATGTAAACCAGGCTGGCCTTGAACTGGCAGCAGCGGTCCTCCTGCCTCGGCCTCCTGCGTGCTGGGACTGCAGGTGTGTACTCCACACCCAGCAAGCACCACCATCTCACAAGCTAGAAAACACTGCTCTCAGCGCTGCGGTGTATTCTCCTGGCCTCGTCTGAGAAAGAAACCCCTGCACATCTGGAATCAGGCTTCCGGCTCTCCAAAGGCAGCCCAGCCCGGAGTGCTATGCTTAGATGCCGGGCACCACGGGCCAGCACTGACCTCTAGGGCCCCACCTTCCTCGTCCAGAAAACAAAGACCGTCACCAGGACCCATTTCCTAACACGATGGTTAACCTGGGGACGTACCCGAACAGCACCCACACACACAGTGCAGATTTGATTTTATTTTTGATGGAACCAGGAATCAAACCCAGGGCCTTACCACTGAAATGTGTCCTTATCTACCCCCACCCCTTTTAACTTTCTCCTTCCTTCCTTCTTTTCTTTCTTTTTTGAGATAGGGTTTTGCTATGTATCTCAGGCTGGTTTTGAATTATCGATGTAACCCAGGCTGGCCTCAAACTCAGGGCAATCTTCCCGCCTCAGCTTTCTGAGTGCTAGGATCATAGGCATCCACCACCACACCTGCCTTTACCAGTGGATTTTTGTACTGAATTCTTGTATTGATAAAATAATCATTTTTGTATTTCCTCTTAGCAATTTTTGGTCATCCTGAGTTTAAACGATTGGACAGGTAAATGGTTCATGTCCCAGGGGTGAGATAAAGCATCTCCACTGCCTTCCAGAAAAGCCGTTTCCACCCCATGCTGCTTGCCGGGACTGTTGTGTCGGGTGGTCTCTTGCACCCTTACAGACACTGCTGCCTTTCTTCTTTCCTGCCCATTCAAAAGGTGGCAACCAGCATCTGGTCAGAGCCGTCCATTTCAACCTCACTCCCAGCTCTGGGGCTGGACCAGGGCCTCTGCAGTGAGCGACTCCACGGTGCCTGCCTTTGAAACTCTGAGCTGGAGCCTGGCTAAGCTGCCCGAGCTGGTCCTGACCCCGCGGCCCTCCTGCCTCGGCGTGTCCCAGCTCCACTTCCTGTTTTAACGTGGCCCTGCTCTGCCTCCACATGCTGCGCCTGGGCCCCTGCCCACGCATGGCTCTCACCTGTGACCAGGGAACCAGGGCGCCTCACCCCCCCACACACCTGTCGAGGGGTGGTGCTGAGGGAGAGGGCTCCACCCTCGCATTTCACTCTGTGCCCTGCAGCAGATTCTCCCAGGCGGGAGGAAAAGCCCTTGAGGAGGTGAACGGGGCAAGGGACTTTAAAAACACCTCATCGCAGGCGTGTGATGCCCACCTCACACTTGCCTATCCTCTTTCCAGGCCCAGCGCCAGTGTCCACCGCCCACGCTGAGCTCACTGACGCAAGCATCCTCATCACCACGGGCCCTGAGACACTCCGCACCCAATGGCTATGACTGCCCAGCTCAAAAACACGTGGGCCAAGCCACACTGCAAAAAGGGACCAAGTTGCTGGTGAATTCTATCCATCGCCTCTTAAAGCAGAAACGCCACTAATGTCACGGTCTTCAAGAACAGACTCCCTTTCAAGTAGGAGGTGAAACCCAAGCCAACCGAGCCACTCCAGCTGCTACTCAACAGACACAAGGGTGACCTGCGAACTCAAGGACACAGCTCTGCAGGAGAAAGGCAGCTGCACCTCAGAGCTGCAAGCCACTACCCCATTCCTCTACACCCCGGAACACCTGCTAAGGGGTTCATCCACGAAGCCAACAGGTTCCCCCAACGTATGAATGGCATTTTCCTTACAATACCGAGTATGGAACCCACTGAGCTACAACTCTAGTCCTTAAAAACAACGTGCCTTCTTTCTGAGACACAGTGTTGTTACGTCGCCCAGACTGGGATGGAACCCGTGATCCTCTTGCCTCAGCCTCCCAGAGTCCCTGGGTCATGGCATGTGCCATGCTGCCTGCTCCTCCCCACAGTGCTCGGGCTGAGCTCAGCCTTGTGCATGCAGGCACACACTCGGCCACCCGTGAGTGTCCTGTTCTCCCTGTTGGCCCTGGGGCAGTGGCAGCCCTGGCCTGGCAGAGGTGTGGCCCGTATCTGCTCAGGGCACAGGAGAATCAGTGCTGGGGAGGAGCCAATTTCATCTCAGAAACATGTCTGACTCAGGGGCCACGTTCCCAGCTCCCCCGCCCTCTGGACACCTCCAGCTGGGATGAGCTCTGCCGAGCTGGCCTCTTTCTCACCTCTGCGGGGTGCCCAGTGGCGAGGCAGGGCTGGTGGACAGGCAGGACTTACCAATGCTCACCGAGTCTTCCCAGTCCTCCAGCACTTCTGTGACAATGAGCACGTACACGTACGTCCTGTGCTTCCGCTCCTGGTTCTGGGGGAGTTAGTGGCATACTGCTGAGCGCGCCCAGGGAGCTCCGGGATGGGGCCACTCCTGAGGGCGCCCAGGTCCCACGTGCACTCTGCTTCTCCTTCCCCTATCTGGAGCTTCCCAGGGAGGTTCTGATGTCTCAGGAAAACGTCCCTGACAACAGTGTAACACGCACAGCCCCAGACTGAGAGCAGCCTGCAGTGTGGGGCGCAGTCAGGGTCCCGCTGCCCCCCCCACCCCCCCGCCCGTGACTCCACTCCTCTGCAGCTGCCTCCTGCGCCTCCTTTTTCCCTCCACAACCCGCGCTCCCCCTAGCTCGGGAAGACAGAAGACAGGCAGGGGTGGGTGGACACAGGAGGAGACGGAATGGAGAGGGAACAGTGTCCGCCTCAGGGCCACTCTGCCTGCCAGCCTCCTTCCCGCACAGGGACCCAAGATGCCAACAGACTCACCTCGAATATTCCAACTAATCTTCCCAGCGTCCCTTTCACTCCAGCCTGAAAAGGTAAAAAGAGAAGTTAGCACGCTGGGCTTGCTACCTTGCTGGCCTAATCCCAAGTTTTCCTCAGCAGTCTTGTGTGAAAAAGAAATGAAAAGCTTGTTAGAGCTCGGGCGGCCTCCAGCTCCAGGGTCACAGCATACCCGGAGTGGTCACAGCCGGGACTGCCCACGCAAACACGGCTGACCATCCACAGCAATGACGCTGTGCCACAAATACCTCTCAGTGTTGAGTACTTCATTAATTCATGCGTGCAGCACACACGTATGGCAGCTAATAGGGATGGGGAGGGCGGAGGTGCTGTGGGGCAGCCACAGGCAGGATGGCACAGCGCAGATGGCACTACGAGGGCCACACACAGGTGAGCGTGGCGCCGAGCTGTGTGCAGCGGCCCGAGGACCTGCAGGCGTCCTCCCCTCCGGGGACAGCCACGCTGGCTCTGCACTCTCCATCTCCTGCTCCCAAGTGCGGGATCACAGGCGGGGGTCGCCACGCCCAGATGCCCTTAGTGAAGGCCCTGTCACACATCAGCATCGTCAGTTTTTCCCTCTGTGTCTGACACAGTACAGACGAGCTCTCCAGTTGACACTCATCCATTGACCTTCAAGGGCACCAGGCTGTTTCTCATGCCGCCTTCTGTCCTTCTCACATCCACCTGTTTCCAGGAGTGTCCATCCCGCCAGGCCTGGCCTGGAGCACGCTGGGCTGCTTAGCAAAGGCCCCACCCCAAGCCCACGTCCTGTCCCTCCCCTCTCCTCTGCACCTCTGGCCTCGGGCCCAGGGGCCGGGCAGTTTTGACTCGGCTCTCAGCTGGCATGGCCTGCCTGCTTCCCCAGCTCACCAGGGCAGGCAGGGCCTGGGAGGATGTGGGCAAACCCTCAGCTCTCCATGCTTCCTTCCACTTGCTCCCAATCCCATTTCGGGAGGCCACCTGGGCTCCCCGATTCCCAAGGGCCCACACAGCCCCCACGCCCAGGCAGGCTGACTTCCCTTGCTGCCCCGCAGTGCTGTGTGTCTCTGATCTGTGAACCATCCAGCTCCCTCCTGGGCCGGGCTGTCTCTCTTCGGTGTCTGCTGTTTATATATTAAGTGTGGAGAGCAAAGAGATGAGAAATGAGGCAAAGAAAAACCCCCAAAAGTGCTTGCCTGGATATGTCAGGACTTGTATTCTATTACTGCCATGTTATTTGTGTAGTAAGTTAAAAATTAAGGCAATGTACTTTTTTTTAAGTCTTTTTTGAGAGAGAGTCTCACTAAGGAGCCCAGGCTGGTCTCCGAAACTCACATCAATCCTCCTGCCTCAGCCTCCTGAGTGCTGGGAGTGCAGGTGTGCACCACCACACCTACGGCAGTATACTTTTAAACACAGTAGTACTCAGTAAGTTTATAAAGAATGAACAAACTTTCAAAAGCACTGCAACTCTTAAGAGACATTAACAGAAACAACAGAAGCTGACTGAGAGGCCCGGGCTCCGGAAGGCTTCCATTTTAGATTAATCTCCGCTATCTGCCAAGGAGCTCTTTCCCTCTGCTGCCAACACGCCTGCTTCTCTATTGCTTTATCTCCATTCTTTACATCCATCCACCCACGGGGCTTTGCTCTGCTTGAATAAAAATGTCTGCCTTTTCTTATTTAAAATGCTTCTCTTACATTTTTAGAAATAATTGCCCTTCAGAAAAACCAACTAAAACTAGTGAGCCTTCATCTCATGAGCTAACCCAGGAAGCTGCCTGAACAAGCAGAAAGGGCAGGCCGTGAGCGGGGCCGAGAGCCTGCTCCAGCTCAGATCCCAGGCAGCCGGAGCAGCCCCGCTGTGCTTGCCGTGCTGCCGCACAGGCCGGCTCTGGGGCGCTGGGACTTCTCCTGTACAGTGGAGAGAGCATTGTCTTTAGCAGCTGACTTCATTTTCCTTAAAGAAATCGTAAGTTTAAGCTGGACGTGGTGGTGCATGCTTATAATCCCAGCACTCTGGGAGGCTGAGACAAGAGGACTGAAAGTTCAAGCCCAGTTGGGGCAGGTTATCCAGACCCGGCTCAACCAACCAACTGATCGATCGAATTTTACAAGAGCCGGGGAAGTGGCCTGGAGTGCGGACCCTGGGGTTCAATCTCCAGCCGCCCCCCAAATTTAGAAAAGCAAATAGTCTTCAAACTTTAAGGGAACACATCAGCTTGCTATTATGGCAACTTGATATAATTTAAAGTCTTTGTTTAATCGTAATTTTGGCATTCAACATCAACACACATGACCCACACTGTCAGAAGCAATTCGGGAGAGCAAACGCTGCCACCACCTGCATACCAACATTTCAGCGATAGTCACTTTCACCTTAAACTTCACCTTGTACAAGTCTGTCCTTAGCCTTCTTTCAGATTTTAGTGGGTTTTTTTTTAAGGTACCAGGGATCAAACTCATGACTTCACACTTGCCAGGCAGGTGCCTGCGCCACTGAGCTAAATCCCTAGCCCTTTTTTCAGATTTTAGACTACTACTAATTTACTGTGGGTCTATCAAGCATGGTGGTCCATGCCTGTAATCCCAGCACTTGGGAGGCTGAGGCAGGAGGAATTGTCTCCAGTTTGAGGCCAGACTGGGCTATCTGGTTGAAGGCCAGCCTAACCTACATAGCAAGATCGTGTGTCCAAACCAAGTAGTCCTACCAATAATTTTACAATAAAAAGTAGAAACATATTCCGCTGTTGGTAGTTTCTAGAACTGAGATTTAGCTGTCTTCTTAGGAAGAGTCCAACCGCAAGAAAGATTCCAGGGCTGGGGGTGGTAGGGCAGGTGGACAAGACCCTGGGCTCCATGCTGACAGGGAAAAGGGGAGACAGAGGCAGAGAGGGCAGTTCAGCGGGCAGGGATAAGAGACAGAGCTTCCCAGCAGCTCCTCCAGGACGCTGTTCCCTGCACTACTGACGTTTCCACAAAGCTCCGGACTCAGGGTGAACCCTACTTCCTGTTCTCTCCCCAGGCTGCCACCTGCAACAGGAGAGGGGCTATTTTTATCACGCACATGACTCAGGCACACAGGTCAGAGAGGGTCTGGCCTCATGTGACAGGTATGTGCTCCTTGCTGGGAATGGCACCACTCGAGGGCTTCAGAGTTTCGGTCCAGGCAGGGTGCTGGTGGGCCCCACTGCTCTCAAGTCATGGGGGGGCTGTCACCATTTCAGTCAGTCTGGAGGGCCCCCAACTCGAGGCCATTTCGGCATCTGTGCTATAAGTATGAAGGACAGTGACATTTCACAATAGCACTCTGCTGTCATCACTCAGCCAACAGTAAGTGTGTCCTCCGATGTCAGAGCACACAGTTAGTTCTAGTACCTCGCATTAGAAGTCATGTAAGCAACTGCCCGCCCGTCTTATAAAAAAAGGAACCATGAGTCTCATTTGCCTTGGGGGAGCTTCATCATGGACTGAAAGGCCACCTGGGGAGGACTGGGCTGACCAGGGAGGCTGAGGCTGCCCGTGGACAGGGGTTCTGGGGTACAGTGCTGGTGTGACCCCCACCCTACTGGTCCTGGTGGCTGACCCTCTGACAGTTGACGTGGTCTCACCTCTGGGCACCGGCCTGTTCTCCGGGCTACTGAAGTCCCAGAGCCTGTCCAGGTGGCTGCACAGGAGCCAGGCCTGGCCAGGCCTGCTGGGGCGATGCGGCCTGGAGACCTGCAGGGAACTCTCCCACCTTTCTAGAAGGCTGCCCCGAAAGACAGCCCTCGCCTCCTTGTGGGTCAAGGGAGCCCTGAAACGGAGAGCTGCTGCGGCACCTCATGACTGTGGAACAGCCGGGAGGGCCAGTGAGAGGTGACCCAGAGGTGACACTGAGAGCTGCGGGAGCTCCTGCGTGGCTGTGGCCGACGTCAGGACTTCACATGGGGTTGGGGGGGGCCACATACACCACCACACACACACCGGGGCACTGATGCCACTTCAGTCTGGTATTTATCATCTGCCTAAAAGCTGCTCTCAGTGAACCGGCTGCTGGGAAGACTAATAGCCCTCCACCCGAGGAGACAGGCTCCGTCTCAAAGCTTCCCCTGCAGAGGCCAGGGTCTCCATTCGGTACTACAGGGCAGCATTCCAGCAGGCACACCTACTCCTTCCTGCTGCCAAGGGAATGCTGTGAAAGCAGGCTTGCTTTGGAAAATGTCTCAGAAATACACATGTTAACAAAGTTGTCCTTTTGAGATGGGCATGGGGAAGCAGGCTTGTAATCCTAGCACTTGGGAGGCTGAGGCAGGATCACTGCAAGGTCAAGACCAGTCTGGGCTACAAAGTGAGCTCAAGGCAAGCTTGAACTCCATAGCAAGACCTTGTCTCAAAAGGACAAAAAAAAAAAAAAAAACCCCACAAAAAACCCAAAAACAAAAACAAAGTTTCCCTTTTGTTTTTGAGATAGGGTCTTACTATGTAGTCCAGGCTGGCCTCAAAATTGTGGCAGCTCTCCTGTTTCAGCCTCCCAAGTGCTGGGATTATAGGCATGAGCCTCCATGACTGGCAAGGAAGTACTTTTTAGTTCGCTGAGTGTTTTTTTTTTTTAAACAATGAACTGGTGTTAAGTTTTAATACATTTTTACTCTGGACTTGGACAAATATGTTCCTAAGTGTGAATTTATTGTTCTTTCCCAGATCAGGAGTCTGTGAACTCTGGTCGTTGGCAAAAATCAATTCTGATGCTGGTTTTCCTGAGAAAATAAAAGTCTTACTGGAACACCACCATGTCACTTCTTCTTTGGTACCGGATATCGAACTCACGACCTTGCACTTGCCAGCAGGCTCCCTGGCCCTACTTTTCACATGGCACTGGGAGAGGGCATGGCTGTACAGGAGGCTGCACAGCTGCAGCCGCTGTGCCTGTGCCTCAGGGGGACCCACACCAGCTTCACACTGGTAGTATGGAGGCTGCCTTCCCTCTCTGGAACCGCTTTAGGTCACAGGCCTCAGAGACCAGGGGCAGGGGCGTGGCCCAATGGCAGAGCACTGGCTAGCACACT